TTGTGAAGATTGCAAAGGACAGATTATCAATTTTGCCTGGAGAGACGCTTTGGTTTCTGAAAATGCAACTTGCCTGGCTTTTGTGCTAATCCAATTACTTCAGAAATATCTTTGTGAGTGGCTTGCAGAAGAATGCACATCAGAAGCCCCCATATTTCTTTTTGTACTGAAGATTACCATATTGTAGTTTATGCAAATCCGGACTCAGAACAACATGTGAAATTTGCAATTGAATCAGAGCAATCAGTCAGAATTCCACTTTCCATGACTACAGCAAATTGAAATCTACTTGTTGTGGGATATTAACCTTTGCAACCTCATCCTTTAAATGTCCTTATTGAATAAGTAAATAACATCACCGCGCTTTCACGCAGAGAGTTTCAGCAAATTGACACATATTGAAAGTAGACCGCAGTTTGGGAAGGACTAAGCTGCACACAGTACCATGATTGTTGACAGTTTACTCATTTTCTGCACTTACAACTAGTATGTTGCAAATGTATTAACTAAAAAAACAGCATCAATCTCTACTAACTAACAAAACAGCATCAATCTCTATACTTTACAAAGATGTATATGTATATATATATATATATAAAATTTTGATACATATAGCTGGATAAATGTACGCGATCTACAGGCAGGTTTTAAAGTTGCCCACAGATCTTGTATCCAGTAATAAGGTTATTACATAACTTCATGAAAAGAAGCTATGAAAACAAACACTGCCCCTCAAATAGCATCTGGTGCTGTGACAGCCTTTCCATGTTTACAAAAAGAAAAAATACAATTATGTTCCAAATGAACTACGGAAGTGTTGTTACAAAAACAATAAAATTGGATTTGCACTAAGCTTTCTATGATCTGAATACAGATGTTCTGGCATCGACTGGAAAGCTAAATGTACCAGAATGAAATGTTTAAAATAAACCATTTAATCCTCAAGAAGCCTATATAACCACATTTCAGAATTATTTACTGGATCTGTGTTGAGGATATTACACTGAGGATGGAAATTGTTCTCTTGGCTTGATGGAGCAGTTTGATGTTTGTGTCATATTTAATTTTTGATACATTTCATAATAGAGGAACTAAGTTGTGATCTAAAATTAATTTTAAAGCAAATTGGTTGTGGGAATGTCAGGGAATGAGGCAATCAAACTCCATTCCAAGTGCTTACTTAAGGTGTTCTGTAAGTCTGCCAGTATCAGTCTGTTAACGTACCCAAAAGAGATTACAAAAATGAGGCTTCCACCGAATATGGGATTGTACATATTATTGTTTCTTAAACTATTGAACTGAGTGATAATTTTAACCAACAGTTATACTATAAGAAAAGCATGGCCAGCAGTGAACATGGGCTAATGTAACAGAAGAATGTGTTTCTGTTTTCGTTATCTCATTTTTCATAACAGTCTCAATGTATTTTGACCAATTATTTAAGATTACACTCTCTACCACTATTGCCCAAGAAAGAGGTTGGAACCTCTGTCAACGTTTTATTGCTGCTTGTGTCTGCTCTATAGTTTGGGAAATTTGGGAAAAGTTTGATGTGTGTAAGACAGGAAGTGAAGGGAAAATCTCCCTTCATCTCTTTATTATGGGGTCTATTCACTAATCTGCTGAAGGATCTAGCCGTAGCTTCGGCCCCAGGAAGCCTTCGGTTCAGTAGAACCCGAAGGGCTGCTGTAGGGCTATTCACTATAGCCCTACAGCACACGAAGTCGGCCGAGCGGCACAGGCGAGCCGAAGGCATATGCTTAGGCTCGACTGAGCCGAGGTGAAAGCCGAAGCTGGCCGAACGGTTACTAACTGCTGTGCGGAGCCAGCCGTCATCTCAGCCGTCATGGCTCCGGCCACTTGCACAGACAGATCAGCGTCCCTGGTTACCAGGTAACCAGGAACACTGATCTCCAGACAGCCAAACTCTCCCGGGCGCTCCGGGAGTCTACCGCTATTAGATAGCGGCTCCCGGCCGCCCGGGAGAGAAACACATTCTCCCAGAAAGGTTTACTTTGCTCCCTGCTCTGTTTTTTTTTTTCTTCTGACATCTGGCTGCCGTCAGAATAATAATAAAAAATGAATCACCATAGGAATGCATAGCTAGATTCCTATTGGCTATTCAATTACACAGCAGCAGAGTGCGGGTGCAATGGCTAGTTTGCTATTGGCTATTGCAAAGTGAAATAGCCAATAGGAATCTAACTATGCATTCCTATGGTGATTTTTTCTTTTTGTTTATTCTGACCGCAGCAGAACCGCCTGGCCAATGCAAAACAGTTGCACGGAGCTAGCTGTCACTGCTAGCTCCACCCAATCATTTTCTATTTTATTTTTACTACTTTTTAAACAGTTTTTCTATTGTGCTCGGTACCACAGAGGTACCGAGCAGAACAGCCGAGCCCAATGCCGCTCGGCGGCATTCGCCTTTTCACTCACTGCTGTTCGGCATCTATGAGAATAGGCTGAACAGCAGCGAGTAGCCTGCCAGATGTTGGATCGGCTGAGTCAAACTCCTTCTGCACTTCTGGTCGGCCAAACATGCTGAGCATGTTCGGCCGACCCGAAGCCAGCCGAAGCCACCCGATGTACAGCTGATTTCAGCAGATATATGGCTGAAATCAGCCGTACCATCCTGAAGTGAATAGCCGAACAGCGTTCGGCTCACTTCGCTTCGGGTCGATTAGTCACTCGGCTGCCTACGGCAGCTTAGTGAATAGACCCCTAACTGTCAGAAACTTCAGGAATTGAAGGGAAACCCTCCCAACTGGGACACGGACAGAAATAAAATAAAAAAAAAACATTTTCTAAAAAAGTAAGTATTTAATTGTTGTCTGTCTAGGTAATGGGTGTCAGATAAAACAAGGAGAGAAGAGAAACATTTTTTTCTCTGGAAACAGACATTGCAAACCTCTATTCCACTATATCCAAAACCAAAAATAAAATAAAAAAACATTTTGGCTGAGTTGGGCACCTATATATATTCATATAGTATATTGTTGTGCCCAGTGTAATAGGGTAGATTGTGGGAAAGTTAGATGTCACAGTAACACTCTGCGGGGCTGAAATTAACTGATCAGATGCTATACAGAAAAACTACAGTGCTGATTCAAGGTGACTAGTCATACATGTACACTAGTCATTCTTACAATACATTTTACATCCTATTATCTCTAATGCTTTCCATGCCTCTCTGCAGTATCAGTTGTGACTATTACCATGGGTTAACCTGGCTGTGCCATCATGGTTAGGTAACATTCAAACAGGGCTAGGTAGGCTTATACATGTAATTCCCAAAATATATTAAACCTTCAAGAAGAACTCCAGGAAAACGTTTTATTAACCCTTGCAGTGGGGCTACCCCTGCACTGCAAGGGTTAAGTGCTCATTTGTGTCTAGGGACAAAAATAACAAAGGTATACTCACTTGAAGCTCCAAGCCAGGCAACTGTCACATCGCTCCCTCCTTCCTCTCTCCTCCTCCACAGCAGCATTGGAATCTTCCTCAGCGTCCTCACGTCTATACACAGGCGTCTATTCACAAAGCTGCCGAAGGATCTGGCCATAGCTTCGGCCGATCCTTCGGCTAGCTTCGGCCCCAGGACCCCTTCGGTTCAGTAGAACTGAAGGGGTGCTGTACGGGCTATTCACAATAGCCCGTACAGCTCCCGATCGTGGCCGAGCGGCTCAGCCGAGCCGAATGCATATGCATCGGCTCGGCTGAGCCGTGCTGAAAACCGAGACACAGCTGTGTCTTTTTTTCTTTATTCTGACACGAGCGATGTCAGAAAAAAAAAATATATAATTTTCCCATTGAAAAGCATTGGGACATTACTATTGGCTATTTCAATTTGCAATAGCCAATAGTAAACTAGCATTGTACCCGCCCTCTGCTGCAGTTCCCCATCAGGTCCATCAGCAGAGGGCGGGTACAATGCTAGACACTCGAAGCAAGCCGATGTACGGCTGATTTCAGCCGATGTACAGCTGAAATCAGCCATACCAGCCTGAAGTGAATAGCCGAACAGTGTTCGGCTCACTTCACTTCAGATCGGTCATTCACTCGGCTGCCCTCGGCAGCTTAGTGAATAGACCCCACAGTGTATAGAACGAGATGATTTACAGGACCTTAGACCACTGTTGAAGAGGGGGAGAGACACTGAAAGGACTGGTCTAAGAAGAAGCTGGTTTGGAGCTGCGGGTAAGTATAACTGTTTTTTGAACCTAGACAAAAATAAGCTGTTAACCCCTGCAGGGCAGGGGGAGCTTCACTGCAAGAGTTAATAAAAACACTTTCTGGAGTTTAACTTTTTTATGTAATTTTCCTTTACAGTATAAAGTTCGAAATTGTGGGTACATTTTAAACCTCCATTATAAAATCAGTCTGCATCTAAAGACTAGTCCATGCTAAGGTGAATGACGAAAAGGGGATGTCATGGCTTCTTGCAGCTGACAATGTTTTACATTTTTGAAGACACGAAGAAAATATAAACTAATAATACATAGCTGGGTCCTCAGGCAAACAACCTTCTGAACTTCTTCTTGTTACAAGAAAGAATTGAAAAAGTAGGAATAGAGTAGAATAAACTCTATACTTAAACTCACAAAACTTGTACTATTTTTTCCTGTATATTATTTGCTTTTGAAGTTTGTGGTAAGGAGCAGGAAGGTAAAAGACTAAAGTGAACAAAAGCATATTATTTTAACTGTAGAGTCATTGGGGTTGATTTACTAAACTTTGCAAGGGAATTTTCCCTTAGCTTGGTAAATGTGTGAAAAATATACTTTGCAATGAATACCCAATAACTTGCCAGGAAAATAAAAAAACAGTGTTTTTGCTTGCAGATAATGGATGATGGAAGTCTGCAGAGCTTTACCTCATTTACTAACTAAGGGGAAATTCCATTGCAGAGTGAACAGCCTTTTTGCCTTGCATTCAACCCCATTGCATTCATGTCAGATAATTAAGCCAAAATTAAAAAAGTCAATGTTCTGTTTCAGATCACCACAGATCTACGACAGCGCTGTACAGACAGTCACACTGGAACCTCGGCATCAGCTCCTATGGCTGCTGGGATCATAGCCCTCGCACTAGAAGCCAAGTAAGTATTGCAATTTCTGGCCTGACCGTTTTATTTAACTGTATGCAGTTTAAAAACAGTCTGTTCAATGTCGATTAGATTAGCCAATTATTGACTGATAAAACAGCTGATGCTATGCGAAAGAAAATGGCTATTTTTTTTAACAATTGTGACATTCATTAAAAGTACCTTTACTCAATACTATTCATTTCATTTACAGAAAAGGGTAAAGGCCAACACTAAACAATTTTAATTTTTCAGAAACAGTGGCAAATTAAATCACATTGGACCTTCTTATATCTTTTGGGTAACTCAGTGGTGATATGCCCACAGAAATTTACAGTTTCATCTAATTGCCACAGCTATAATGCATCCTAATTATATAATCACACTCCCAAAATACATTCTGCTTATGGTAGAATAAACACTAAGGGGTCTATTCACGAAGCTGCCGAAGGATCTGGCTGTAGCTTCGGCCGATCCTTCGGCTAGCTTCGGCCCCAGGACCCCTTCGGTTCAGTAGAACCAAAGGGGTGCTGTACGGGCTATTCACAATAGCCCGTACAGCTCCCGATCATGGCCGAGCGGCTCAGCTGAGCCAAACGCATATGCATCGGCTCGGCTGAGCCGAGGTGAAAGCCGAAGCTGGCTGAGCGGCCGGCCATTGGCCGGCCGACAGCCTGCTTCTGACAGCAGGGCGGAGCCAGCCGTGATCTTACGGCTCTGGCCACTTGCAGTGAGATCAGCGTCCCTGGTTACCTGCTAACCAGGGACACTGATCTCCAAACAGCTAACTCTCCCTGGCGCCCCGGGAGTCTCCTGCTCCCGGCTGCCAAGGAGAGAAACACTGCTGTGTCCTTTTTTTTCTTTATTCTGACACGATCGATGTCAGAATATAAAAAGTGCTGAGCATGTTCGGCCGACCCGAAGCCACACGAAGCAAGCCGATGTACGGCTGATTTCAGCTGATGTACGGCTCAACGTAGCCGTACCAGCCTGAAGTGAATAGCCGAACAGTGTTCGGCTCACTTCACTTCAGATCGGTCATTCACTCGGCTGCCCTCGGCAGCTTCGTGAATAGACCCCTAAATGTTGATTCCAGCACCTTCATTATGGCCTTCTCAACAGCACCTTCACCTGCAAACTAGATCCTGGAACCTCTATTAGTATACGATCGTTCTTATAGGAGTCTTGTATAGCTCTACAGCATGGGAGTGATATCTCCCATGTGCCCAAAATACCTTTTTTTTTACGGTTTGTGCACAATTAGTGCAGCAAGCTGCTTGCAGGAGCTTTAAATGTGCACTTGTGCCACACAAGACAGAATATAATACTGACCCTACTGGACCTCCACCTCTTAGAGTTCCTGAGGTCCCTATTAGATTGTGGCAATTACATATTTGGTTGGCCCTGGTTCTTCTAACCTTCATTCAGGTGTTGATCCCTTCACATACTCTTTGTTATATAATAGTTACATCTGTTAGATCTTTCAGTGGCTATTGTCCACCCCTCAGTGAGACAGCTTTCGGATGTCCCAATTGTCTAAGAATTACTAAAGTCCTGTGTCTCTCAATGGATGTTAAAAAAAATAAGATTTTTGTACTCACTACAAAAGTTTATTCTTAAAGTCCTTTGAGGGACACTGGTCAGAACCTTCTATGTTATAAACCTTATGTATTGCTTGATGGTTGGAGGCAGAGCTATACTGGGGTTGGCCTAACGCCTTTTGTTTGTCAGTGTCTCAATAACCTGAAGTTGTCAGTAAACCCAGTACTCTGAGAATTAATGAAGTTCTGTGTCCCTTAATAGACATAAAGAAAAACATTTCATAGTAAGTACCAAACTTTTTTTTTTCTATTTATTCTCTAAGTAATACTTAGATACCAAATATAATTGATTTAAATTTGTTTGCACGTTAAGTCCTACTTTGCCCTCCCAAAAGAATGTGTAATATCTTTCGACAGACTACAAAGGTGAAAAATAATTTCACAAAAAAACAACTCAACTGTAATTCTGTCCTCTACAGGGAAACAAAAAACTATGGTCCTGAAGTGGTTATGTACAGAGTGCATATTCATATTATATATTCATCTTATAAATGATATAAATAAGAGTGCGTATTCATCTTATAAATGCATCTAATAAATAAGTGTCCGTATGGTACTGCATTTATTTTCGGCATAAATAAACTCTATAGCTTTCACTGTACCTCATAGCAATACAGTTTGAAAAAGCTGTGTAATGTAATCTGCAGCTTTATGAAACTGCCTTTGTAAGGTATTTATTTTATGTGGATATTATTTTGCATGGAAAGCTAATTTGTTTACACATTTATTATTGGAATAAACAATTCAGCTTAGTAAGAATAATTATTACTGGAATGTTTCTTTCTCAGCATGTGTGACTTTTTTATTTTCACTGCATATGCTACTGTGAGAAAAACTTTGTGAACCCTTAGGAATTATTTGGATATCTACACTATGGCACCTGAGATGTAATATGTTCTTTATTTAAGTCACAACAAATAAAGACAATCTTATTTCGTAAACTACAAACTTTTTACATTTCCACGACTATACAGAAGGTTTGCTGCTAGGATTGGGGTGTCCTTGGCCACCTTGACGATGCTTTGTGATGCTTGCAGCAGGCATGCCCACATTGCACAGTGTAAGTGGAGCAGCATGGTGCAGGGATGAGGAGTGTTTAACACATAGAATGCAGGGTCAGGAGTGTGTTACACATGAAGTGCAGGAGTTAGGAGAATGTAACATACAGAGTACAGGCATAAGGAGTATGGCATGTAAAGACTGTAGGGGTCAGGAGAGTGTAAAGCAGAGAGCAGGGGTCAGGAGCACATAACCCACAGAGTGCAGAGGTCAGGCATTTGTAAACTATAGAGTGCAGTGTTTAGAAATGTATCACACACAGAGCGTATCGACCAGGAGTATGTAACATCGAATGCAGAGGGCCAGGGGGATGTAACCCACAGAGGGCAGGGCTCAGGATTACGTAAACTACAGAACACAGAAGTCAGAATGTACATAATGCACAAAGAGCATGGGTCAGGAGTACATAATGCACAGGATTCAGGTACAAGGAGTACTTAATGCACAGAACTCAGAGGTCAGAAGTACATATTGCACAGAATTCAGCAGTAAGTAGCATACACTGTTCAGTGATCAGGAGTACATAATGCACAGAGTTCAAGGGTCAGAAGAACATAACACACAGTGTGCAGGAGTATGTAACACAGAGAGTGCGCCTCCCTCACCTCCCCAGCACAAATTCCTTCTGCAAGTCAAATTTCTCCCCAAACCAATACTGCCTCTCCTCCCAATACACCCCACCCCCATTGAACCCAAATCTTCTCCCTTAGCTAAAATCCCTTCTAAGCTAAAAGCACCCTGATTACAAATTCAGAGTGAGAGAAAACATCCCAGGTCTTCCATTGGATGTGTCATATTAACCCTCACAGCCAAAGAAGAGCTTCCATTGGCTCTGCATTACACATTGCCACTCAAATATGAAGTCTAAATGGTGATGAGTGGGGATGGAAGCAGGCAGCTGGCCTGGCTATACAAAAAAAAAGAGGGGTGGTCATGGCCTTAAAAACTAGGCACCAAAGTTTCACAAATTGTTTTGTACAACTGTAAGTAGGTTTATTATCACTATTTACTCATTATATTACATGACTGTATCTAGTTCTAGTGTAATGCCCCGTATTTATATTTGTATATCTAGTCGATTTATACCTGTGTGCATGACTCCTCAAACTGAAAGCTGAGTTGGGCTTCTTTGAAGGTTGTGGTATTATGTAGCAAATATTTAGCAGACAGGAAAAACATGACAATACCACAAACAGCAAGAATTTATATCACATGAAAATAACATGAAACGTTTTCATTTCACAGTGGTTTCCTTTGTGCTCTCTAGAGGAATATGTGTGAGTCCTGAAGTAAGTCTAGTAGGTCTTTATTAATATTAGCTGATACCGGACTTATTTGGAACCTGTGTGGTGCTCTCGTCCCTTCACTTTACATATCACTTGCATTCTACCAACCCATCAGGGCCTAAAAAGCTGCCATCTCCTATAGTTTTGAAAACTACTCCTCACTCCTCACAACCGAGTGTTTCCGCCAATTGAGGTCCAGAGCTCCACCAACAACTTTTTCCTTTAAATTTCCAGTGCAGTCTCTGCTGCTAAAAAAATTGTCCCTAAATCAAAACATTTATAGTTGTGTCTCGCAAATGTATTGGAAAGTGTCATAGCATATGTACTGATGTTTCGGAGTCTCAAATAGTCCCATTCTCAAAGCAATAGTTTTTTTTTGTCACTTTATGACTTTGGGGTCATTCACTAAGCTGTTGAAGGCAGCCGAGTGCATAACTGAGCCAAAGTGAAGGGAGCCGAAACATGTTCAGCTATTCACTTCAGCCGTGTATTCACGTTTAGGTAGCCTATTCATTTTGAATGGGCTATGAGCATGATCAGAGTGGACAGAAAAATGCATCTGAAGTATTTAAGTCTGGCGCAGAATGCCACAGTGTGTGTGTTGGAGTGCTATTTGGAATTAAAAGAGAACTATGGCCCAACCTTGTTTTGCCATAGTTCTCTTTAGACATGTGCACTGCCAAAAAATTCGTTTAGTTTCGTTTCGTTTTAAATTCGGATATGTGTTATTTCGTTTTTCAGGATTCGGGTGTGAAAGTCAATTCGGATTCGGACGAAATTCGGTAGCGTTAGTACGAACGTTTGTTTCGTTTTCTGTTCTTATTCGTTTCTTATTCGTTTCTTATTCGTTTCGTTCATTTGCAGCAAAAGTGACATTTGAGGGGGAAAAAATATTTTTCTCCTTCTCTAATGTCACTTTGCTCCAACGAACGAAACGAATAAGAAACGAACAAGAAACGAATAAGAACAGAAAACGAAACGAACGAACGTACTAACGCTACCGAATTTCGGAAATGGAAATTCGGATTCGTTTGCATTCGTTATGTCTGTAATTCGGAATTCGGATACA